AGCCAACGGTGACAGTCCGATGGCACAAGAGTTACTCATATCTCATGTTGTGCAAAAGGTCATTCCAAACGATACCCTTTCGATTTGTCGACAATTTTCCGTGTGTATTTTCTTAATAGTCTCAAGATAACTACCACAGACCACAGCTGATTGAGACATCAGGTCAAGATTATTATTTTGGTTTTATCTTTTTCAAACACATCGCGCCCTTCAAACGCCAGCTGCCTGGAGAAAAATAATATACGATTATTACGCCCAACACCAGAAAAAAAAGATATATTTTAGAGTGTTTTGCAACGATTAGGCCGTTTTAATTGCACGTTTATAATTTAGATTGAAACTTTTTCTGCAACCAACATCTCATGGTCAAAAGTAGTTTTGGTACTTCCAGATTAACACAAAGAGAGTTTTCATAAACCACTACATTTATGAATTTTGTACTTCAGTAATCGAACATTCAGCAACATTGAAGATGGGAGAGGGGAAGAAAAGGGCCCGTCTGGTCTTAAAATGCAATACAGAAGAAGTTCCTATACATCGAAAATATCATACCCACGTAAACGTAAGAAACAAAAACTTGGTCTTGTATTCGTTTAACTAAATGAAAGTGTCAACCCCATCTAAATTATTCTTTGTGAAATAGACAGAAATAAAAAAAAATTACCACAAAGCGTTTGATGTTGAATATTAGTTGAAGGCATCTGATTTTGAAGAAAAAAAATTTAGAAAAAGAAAAAATGCAGGACATTTTTTTTTTGCTGAGATATTTTAAGGAGTGAATGTCAAATCCTAAGGCCACACCTTGGCTAGGTGGGAACAAATTTTCTGAGCATTTTTTTTTTTTTTGCAATGAAAACTAGGGGTAAGGAAAAAATATGAATAAGTTATTCGTTTTAATGACGACTCACTCAGTCTTACGTGTTTGCGTAAAAGCTATGTAGCAGTTTTCGTTCAACATACCTTTCCTTTTCCAAAACAAGAGCGCCTTAGGATGCGGGTCTGAAGCGAATGTCGAGGAACTTGGTGAGAAATGTTTTCCTTTGTGTTTCACGCAAACTTATCACCTAAATGGACTAATAAATCAGCGGGAAAGGAAAAAAAACCGCTTTTTTTCTGTTTATATTTATCTGTTCTCATCCTTATATCTATAAGTGGTTTGCAATACTGATCCCGATGCTTTTAAATGGTTTTATTTGAGCATGCGCATAAGATAAGCACATCAAGCTGGTGCGAAAGTACTATATACGTATTTACTTTAGTCGGCATTTCCTATGTTTTCCCCTTCATCACATTACATTAAATAATCGTGTTTTAATAGATCCCTGTAATGAAATTGGCCTAGAATTGAGCATTGTGAACCATCCTGGTTTAGTAATCGAAAATACCATGTGCTGTTTTATTAAAATCAAATAAGAAAATTCTCCAAAATAAATGAATTTTTTTTTGCCGGCTCTTTTATGCTTACCCACATTTCATGTTCACTCACTTTTGTTTCAAATTAAAACGGATCAGAAGCCGTAGAAGACCATCCTTTAAA